CAGTTGAGGCTTGAACACTGCTTTTTGCTAGCTGTTGCAGTTTTCTGTGATGAAAATGGACCAAACGGACAAATACAGACATACACACAATGTGGAGAGAGCAAGTGAAAATAGCCTGGTAGGTATGGCAGAATCCAGGCAGAACTGGATACCTGTTTAATCTTTCGATTCTGTTGCAGTTTGACAAAGCTTATGACTGACTACAGATTAATCTAGACATTTACACAGACTTCTGCAGGAGTACCTAATTGCTGAATGTGCTCCATGGCTCCATGGCCTGAAGAAAATCTCAATTAAAACAGTTCTTAGCGCAGCGTTAACCTTGCTGATCTCAAGTGTTTGTTTTCCCCTGTTGCATAGTATATGTTATTCTTTCATCAGTGTGACCTTAATCATCTGTAAATTTGTCAGGTGTTGTTGAATACAATCTTCTAAATAACCCAGGACCCAAGAGCTCCAAGCTTCAAGCTCGCCTCACTAGACAAATAGCACTAAATTGGAAATTCTTTTTCTCATTTGTTACCTTAATTTTAAAAAGAAGCAATTGGTTTTTTAAAAGTAAGACAATCCAAATAGCTCATTTTTCACAGTGAAAGATGATTCTTAACTTTCTTAACTTTTCATCAACTAAATATATGCTGTTAAGATTATAAGAAGCTTATAATCTTAAGAAGTTTATTTTATGACTCGTCTTTTAATGAGTGAAAAAAACTTGTGGTTTTTTATTGGCATTCTAGCCTAGATCTTCCTTGGCTGCTCAAGAAAATGTCATTATGGGGCCAGTCCTGTGGCCAAGTGGTTAAGTTCGCCCGCTCCGCTTTGGTGGCCCAGGATTCGGATCCTGGGTGTGGACATGGCACTGCTCATCAGGCCATGATGAGGTGGTGTCCCACATGCCACAACTACAGGGACCCACAACTAGAATATACAACAATGTACTGGGGGAATTTGTGGAGAAAAAAGGAGGAAAAAAGAAAAGAAGAAGATTGGCAACAGTTGTTAGCTCAGGTGCCAAACATTAAAAAAAAATGTCACTAAGGGGAATACACAGAAATATGCATGTGCACGTACACATGTACATAAGTATACACACACATATACACACACACACAAACCTTTTTAAATATTGGTTGTAGATATTTATACCCATTCTGCCACATTTGCAGATTAAGTGATGTATGTATCTGTTACTGGTTTCTTGTAACATTTATCCATCAATGCCTTGCAAATATTTAAAATGAAATGAATGGCAGCTCTTTGTAACAGAAGGTTAGAGCTACAGTGTATCATTTTGTCCCAAAGTGTGAGTTTAAGGCCCACTAATAGTTTGTCTTAAAGTGTATGCGTTTATAACATATAGTTTTGTTTCAGCATGAATTAATAGTTTATCTTAGAAATGTGAAATAAGCAAGCAAACAAACAAAATATATTGATATCTTATGAAAAGAAAATCAAATTCCCTCTAAGTTCTGATAAATACTTCATGATGGCAAGTGAGAAAGGATAATAAATTCTTCCCAGAATCTTTGGTGCTATAGATCTACAATGATAAAGAATCAATGAAATCTGTGCTTCTGGGATACATTGCTTAGAATTAAGAATTTACTCAAAGAAGGGCCAAAGATAAGGAATAAATGATGGAATAGCTTACATTATAAAAGATAATTTGGGGGCCAGCCTGGTGGCGCAGCAGTTAAGCGCGCACATTCTGCTTTGGCGGCCCAGGGTTCACCGGTACGGAGCCCGGGTGCAGATATGGCACCGCTTGGCACGCCATACTGTGTAGGCATCCCACATAGAAAGTAGAGGAAGATGGGGACAGATGTTAGCTCAGGGCCAGACTTCCTCAGCAAAAAGAGGAGGATTAGCAGCAGATGTTAGCTCAGGGCTAATCTTCCTCAAAAAACAAAAAAAGAGAGAAGAAAAAACAAAACAAAAAAAAGATAATTTTAAAACTTTGACCATGAGATGCTTCCATATAACAGTACTGTTAAGAATAGGACTAATATCCATAAAATTAACTATATTCAGCTTTTACACTATGTTATTGAATATGGTTACTTTACATATTATTGTATTCACAAGATAATATTAAACCTGTTACAAATTTGAATCCATGTAGTCAGCCATGAATATCTGTATTATCAGTTGCTGTCCTCTGTAGAATCTTTTACTTTAGCTGCTTGTAAAAGGCACCAAATAGATATTTGTCAAATGGATTCTTCTTTTTAATAGACATATTCTCCAATAGCTTGGGGGATTTGGTGAAAACCATCTGGATGGTTATTCTCCTTAGTCTAACTTAAGTGTTGTTTATGCTCTGTTAAACACAGTGTCTAAATTGATATCTAAAGTGGTTAAGATTGCTGGAGCCAGAGTACAGAGATTTTAAATCCTGAGTGATTGTTAGGATAAAATGAATTGGTGCATGGAAAGTCCATCAGGACCTCAACCATAGTAAATACTCAGTAAAAATTTTCTCTTATTATCATTTTGAAGGAAAAATTTCTTAAGGTACTCACAATCTGGTATTATAAGTTTATTAAGATATAACTAATCTAAGAATTATTAAACTCATAGCCTAGACTTATGTTTAACAAAAGGACTAGAAAAATTTCTTCAGTATTTAAGCTAAGCTCCAATGATAGAAGCCATAAAGAAGACACCAAGAAATTTGCCACATAAAACTTAAAACATCTCTGTGTTAAAGAAAATGTTCAACAAAATTAAATGCAATATATCTGATAAAGGATCAGTATCCTTAATAACTAAACAACTCTTATGAATTGATTTCTTTAAAGGAGAAATGTACAAAAGAAAAAATTTCCCCAGGATGAACAAATGAAAAATGTTCAAACTGACTAGAAACCCAAGAAAGGTAAATTAAAACAACTGTGAGCTGCCATTTTAAAATACATTTAGCTGACTTTTAAAATCATGATATACAGTAGTTTGTCTACATATCTAAAATTCAAAAGCTCTAAAAACTGCCTTTTGTAAGTCATTTTGCAGCAAAACATAAACTGACATGGACGCCCTGGCAGCAAACCAGCACTAACTGATAGGAAGTGGTCCTGGTTTACGATCTTAGTGGAAATCTTCATTTTGGCCGCATAAATACTCATGTGTTTGATTATAAAGTGCTTCCCCAGACTCCGCTTGGAGTGTTATGGAAGAGACAGCATTTGCATCTGATTAACTTTCTAAAATTAGAAACATTCTGAATTCCAAAAGCTATCTGTATTTAATGTGGTGGGATGGAGAAACAGTTACTCATAAACTCCCAGTGAGATTATAAACGGATGCTCTTCTGTGCGTGGGAAGTTGGCGATCTGGCTATTTATCAAAAGCCGTGAAAGAGTGCCATGCCCTTTAACCCAAAGTCCCCCCTCTGGAGATTCATCATTACCAAATTGCTAGGAAAATGATGAAAGATTTAGGTTTTAGTAAATCCAACGCAGATGACATGTAACAGGTAAAAACTGGAAAGTCCCAAATGCGCAATAATAAAAGACTGGAGCAATTACCTGGGCTCCAGCCACACCATGGACTACGACTGTGCCTCTTAAAAAGGGATGCCGTGCAGTCACACTCTTGCACGTCAAAAGATGCCCTGATATTTTGCTAAGTGGAAATATCAGGCTATGAAAATAATATGCACCATATGACCTAATTTCTTTTAAAAAGTTATGTATTTCTTTTAAAAAGTTATACACCATATATATGTGTGTGTGTGTGTGTACACATATATATATATATATAAATATTTGAAGGATAGTCACCAAAATATTAACAGTGGTTGTCTCTGGATGGCAGGTGATTCTAATTTTCTTTTCATAGTTGTGCCTTGTCTACAGAGAACGTGTGTTACTACTATAATAAACTTTTAAATTTAATTTAAATATATTATTTAAAGCATGTCAATATGTCTTACTTAGATTTTGAGTTCTAGGTGTATACAGTTAATATCTATCAAGAAAAATATAATATTCTAAATATAATATAAAATTATATTTATTATAAATAAAATATAATAATAAAAATATAATATTTATATTTTATAAATAATTATGAAGACTCAGTGTATTTGCAAAACTGTATCACCAAGCAAAATCTGGTTTTCAAACAGCGTGTTTTGCCTAGAGTAGCGTTTATAGTTTTATCGATATTTGAAATGTGTGTGTGTTAAAATTAGCCCTGGAGAATGAGGAATATGAACTGTATTGTCAAGGAAAGAGTGTTTAGAATTTTAGTCTTTATAAAAAATATGCCCCGGGGGCTGGCCCCATGGCCTAGCAGTTGAATTCGATGCTCTCCACTTCTGCAGCCTGGGTTCAATCCCCAGGAATGGACCTACACTGCTCGTCAGCATCCATGCTGTGGTGGTGACCCACACACAAAATAGAGGGTGATTGGCACAGATGTTAGCTCATGGCAAATCTTACTCAGCAAAAAAAAAAAAAAAAAAAAAAAGCCCAGAGTGTATATACCGGCAGCATTCAAATCCTGACCCATATGGAGAGAATAGTAGGATGTCAACTGAGAATTTAAGATGTCTTTGTTTCAGCCATCAGAAGCAACTTGCTATCCTCAGAAATATATTTTGAAAATCTGATCTTTTTCCTGAAACGCTCCTTTTAACAATAGAAATCAATAAGAAAGCTGTGGGCACTTTCAGGAGAGTGATTTGCCGTCTGTATTTTCTTGAGTGGTGCTAACGTGACGATGTGCCATCCTGCTGCTTGGCGTGGAATAAACAGCCAGACCCAGCAGTCTATCTGCAGAGAAGAAAGCTCTGTGTTTTAACTGCCAATTTTCAAGCCAATGCTTCTTATAGCTCCTACAATATGCGTCTGAAATTTGGTGCTGACTCTGAATGCTTGATTTTGCTTTGGTAGACTATGTCTGCAACCCATGTATGATTAAATTATATTACTTTTTATTAGAAATTGTGATATCTGTTACCTTTTTACTGAAAGAAATAATTCTTTATTTTTCAGAGCTTCCGTATGGCTGGGAAAAAATCGATGATCCCATATATGGCACTTATTATGTTGAGTAAGTCTCTAAGTTTGATGTCAACTTGTTATTAATATGTTGTGAAGTTGTGTTCGCATTTCATCTATTGAGCATGTGTGGCTAACAGTCCTTTTATCTCCCTTTCATCTTCCTTTGAAGCTTCCATAAAGACTCTAGGAGCACTAACTAGCCGTTTCTTGACGCTTCAGCTGATAATTTGTCACTGCTTTCCTTTCACTCATGATTCTAAAACACCAATTGGAAAAATGTGTGGCACCCTGTTCTCTAAATGAGCCGTAATTAAAGATATCAAAGTAAATGTCCTTCATTTTGCAACCAAAATGTTGAAAGCTGACTAGTTGTACAAAAAAGATGTTCTATTAAACCAAATTTCGAAGTCAATTAGATGAAGCAGCCATATTTTCCAGTTGAAGGATGAAATAAAATTTAGATTTTTTAAAATCTTTTAAGACCCCATCTCAAATCAGTAGTATTCTTCCTGTAGATTAGACTTTTATGTTGTCTACTGAAGGATGCGTTGCCTTAACATATCTTAGCATAACGTGCGCTATCCCCTCTATGCATCCTTTTATTCAGAATAAAGCCCCTATTAGGGATTAAATTATATACATATTTTTTCTTGGAAATATCAAGTAATTTTATAATTTTCAAAAGTTAAACGGGTGACTTGTTTTTCCAGAACCCCTTTTTCTAACTGAGAAATTTTTAATTCTTATCTATTGTGTCATGTTGTTAATGTCATTTGGGTGAATAAAGCCAAAGAAATGCAGAGGTTGGAAAACGAAAGATATTCACATTATTTATCAAGATCTAACTCTTTTCTCTAATTATATTCTGTTTAGCAGTAATAATCTAGATGGTCAAGGGTTACAGATTAAGGGCGTTATTGCTAAATTGTTTTTGTAACAATATTCAAAGAGTCGCTAAGCTTTGACTAGGTGTTAAGCCCTTCTTCTCACTGGGCAGTTACTGCAGAGTGAGACCTGCGTGCCCCCTGCCTTCCAGCCTCTCCCTCATGGGCACTGGTCTGGAGCACTTTAACCTACCCTCTTCATTTCAAAAACACCCCAATGTTTCCACCACAGTCAGTCATTTCCAGTCAAGGTGAGTTCACCTCATGTGCCACGTGCAATCTCGTAACACAGTATCTGATGCTCTAATGTCATGTGAATGCTCAATAGATGCAAAACGTAGGACAAACACATGGAGGTATCACTCATTTCAAAAATAAAGGGAAATCACTTATAAATACTTATAAGCTTCCCCAGTCCCACTACAATGCTAATCAATTAAAATGAACATATATTTTCATAAGAATGTAGCTGCAGCTCTTGGAGGAATTTATCAACATTAAAGGTTTCCAATGAATGTTAGCTTGTCTTAATTCACTGAAGCTGACTTTACTGTGCCTGAGCCTATTATATCTGAAATTCAAGGTAGTGTCATGTAAGGAGAGAGAACTGAGGTATGTGACATACCAAATCTTATCTTTAATACACTTCCTTACAGAATTAATTGAATAAGAACGTTTTCCTTAGCCAAGATATTGGCAAACTCCATAAAAACCTGGATAGCAAATATTCTGGGGGGGGCCATATGGCCTCTGTCATAACTATTCAACCCTCCTGGTTGTAGCTTGAAAGCAACCATAGGCTGAATTTGAATGAAAGGGTGTAGCTATATTCCAACAAAACTTTATTTACAAAAATAGACAACTGGCCAAATGTGGCTTGTAGGACATATTTGCTGACCCTTGCCCTATTCTAACTCTTCAGATAGTTCTTCCTTGTCCTCAGTGCCTTTCAAGCTGACTTCCAATGTGGGAAATAGTGTTTAACGCAAACCTTTCTTCTCTGCCCTAATTGTCTGTCACAGAGTTGAGACAGTCCACATGTTGGAAAGTGATGCTTGCTACCTTCTTGATCCCTGAGGTGTGTGTTCACATAGAGAGCTGCTGCTGGTAGACTCCTTGTAGTTAATTATTGAATTGGGCATTAGCTGTAACCCTAAAAGAAAATTGCCATTATTATCTTTCTGCTTCAAATGGTTGTCTTTTTATTTGTTTTTGCTTAAATTATATTTGTCTCTACATTTCCTGACTTCACTTTTCATGTATCACTGCCATAGTCAGAAAAGTATTCGTTAGTCAGTCATGTCTCAGCTACTTAGATCAGACTAATATATTTAATAGTTTTAGATTTAAAGTGGTTATCAGGGCAAAATACAGGTCATAGTGAGTCAAATAGTTTAACTTGTTCATCATTCAGTTCTACTACTTGTCATGGCTTTTGCCCCATTATGTGATTCTATAAGATGTACCAATCCCGATACTTGGGTGTAAGGCTCTATCAGACCAACTGAAAATTGAGACAGATAATTCAAACCTAAAGACAATTTTAAGTAGAATTGATTCCAATATTTCTTAGAAATGTCCTTTGGAAAAAATTCATCAAAATAATTAAAATACTTCTACTTATTCTATATCATGTAAACATTATTTGAAATGAAGGATATCTTGCCTCACAACAAAGACAACTTTGTTCATTTTAACTGGAATACACCAATTTCATGGTATGTTTTAACTGTTCAAAAAATATGAATCTCATCTCCATTATACTATTATTTTCCAAAAGTATGTATTGGTTCTGAATAGTAATCTTGTTTGTGGAATCTATGTGAATACATTTGTGACATAGTGTTTATTCATCACTTTAAGTTCATAGAGTATTTTTGTTGGAAAGAGGTCCCTTATTTCTTATAGTTGATTACACAGAAAAAAACGGTAAACGTGTAGTTTAAGTTGCTATATCTTTTCACTATGGATATCATAAATATAAAATATAATATGCCTAGATTAAGACACTGTTTCTAATTGTCATGATAATGTTAAAGTCAACATTTCAACAAATCATATATTTTAATTTGTAATATTAGTATTCAGTTAATAGGACAAAGCAAAGTAGTCTTTCCTGTAAATCTGTAGTCAAGAAAATGTTGATTCACTAATTCTATTAACAATGGTGAGCAATGGGTTCTCTGTAGAGCTATCATTTGGGTGTTTAATTACACACCATTTACATAATTAGAGGCACTGGTTACAAAATATGAAAAACATTCCACCGTCCCACCCAGTGGCAAAAAAGCCTGTGCAAGTACTAGAAGTCTGACTTAGCGGTCAGTCACTCTCTTCAAATAGACCAACAGCTGGGAGAGAAGTTGCAGTGCCGGCTCTCTGTCATCAGCAGGACGTTGAAATAAGCCTGTGCCTCTGGCACGGTTGCACGAACGCTCCACAGACAAGCACATAGGCGTTCCAGCAACCAATAGCAGGAAGGTGTTTATACCACTGGAAGCTGAGAAACCTGGATTGAAGAGTTTTGACCACTGTTACTGACTTTACCCTACTGTGCCGTAATTCTATCCTGTGCAAATTCAGTTTTAAGATTACAGGTTTAATATATTCAGAAGTCAGAAAAATTATCGACACCATCATCATTATCACATCATCAAAATAGTTAACATTTATCCAGTGCTTATTCTGCACCATGAGCTGGGCTCAGCACTCAACAGTCATTGCCACATTTATAATCCTTTCTACAGTGAGAAGGAGGGAAATTGTCTTAAGTTTACAGATGGCGAAACTCTGGCCGAACAAGTTCCGTTAACTTACCCACTGTCACACGTTATTGAGAGGAATGGCTGTAATTTGGACCCAGGCACTCTGACTGTAGAGCCCAGACTCCAAACTCTTGCTCAAAATGCAGCCCATAAATTGAGCATTCACATCCGTAATGGTCCAGACAAGCCTGAGACTCATCGCTGGAGAAGAATGAGGAGCCCTAGAGAACCTCTCCTCCCTATCTGCCTTCTAATATAGCATCACAGGGAGAGTCCAACAACAGGAGGTGGTGTATGCACAGCCCTGTAAGACCGGCTTCTGAGCCACCAGCTCCATTCCCCATGACTTGAGAGTGGCTCTGGACAGCATGGCCACCAGGACCAAGACTTGCAAGACCTGAAAGAAAAGGAGTCCGGTAGTACGTGGACCTTGACGTAGGGATGTTGGCACTAGTTTGAGCAACAGAGGGAGCCACACAGCTCTCTGTTTTAGAGAACAGTAGGTCCTACTCAACATCTGTCCTGATTCATCTGCAGACAGGGCAGACGGACCACGTTTTCACTCTATGTAGCAGCAGAAACAAGGTAGCCCAATTTCTCCTGACAGACGCCAAATCCATGATAGCACAGCACTTAGCAACGTATTAAGAAGTCCTAAAGTTGCTAACTAGAAATGTAACTGTCACTGTTCATAGAGAAAGGGAAAAATCTTAATGAAAAAAGTACAAAATGTAAAGTTGAACAGCTGTGACTTTTGTACAAATGTGGTTTTTTTCCTCCACTTTTGTGAAATTATATCTGCTGGGGACATTTTGGTTTCAATGGCAGTGACACAATTTGCTTAACTAGCTAGTCCAGAAGACACAATTTTCTGGAACAGCTTTCATGCAAAGCTGCATCCTCTGGCACAGAGGGAAAAGCAAACTATGTAACTACAGTTAAAATGATGGTGGGGACTGACAGATGTGATTTTCGTGTAAAGGTTTTACAAGTTTTTCATGTGATGTCACACATCTGCCACTATAAAATGTTACTTGTGTGCAACCCCACAAAGTAGGAAAGATACTGCATAGTATCTTCAATGTAACATTAAATGTAAAAGGAAAATCACATTCATTTCATGGTTATAATGAGTGTTTGTCATGATGTAGCAAGTTGGAAAGTGGCTAGAGAAGATCTTAACTCAATATCCTATCTTAAGAATGTTTCTCTTCTTCATGCTTGGAGTAGTTTTTTTCCAAGAAAAAACTTCCTAACCTTAGAATTTTTTAAAATTCAGCATGAATGTAAAACATTTCCAATTAGAAATAAACAGAAAACAGTACCCTTTTAAAATCTCACTTGTTCTTCTAGAATTTTTTTCCTATACTGAAAGTTAGTTTTTCAGACTTTCAGGTTTT